CAGAGATGGGGTGGGGCCGCCGGTGAGGGTCCCGCTTAGGAAGTACTGGTGGTTCACAAAGAGGGAAAAGAAGGGGGAAATTCTGGCCATTCACAGCGGAAAGCATGTGGGATCTCGAAAATTGTCTTCCAGAGGCTTGCTGCCAGGTAGTGGGGTCCTAGCCGTAGGTTACAGTACTCGCTCTTGGACATCAAGGAGCGCATCTGACCAGAATTACAGCCACATCCGGCCAAAAAGTCATGCATATGGCCCTGAGGGTTATAATCCGGTTTGTTGTCCCGAGTGGAAGGCATAACGAAGACAATGTGATTGGGAGGGTTGCTGTAGAGGCCAGTCACTGAGTACACAGTGATCACCTGGAGCCGTGGGCCATGGGTGTCCTGGAATACCACCTCCAATCCCACCCTCACATCAATACTCCTAGCGCACGCCCTATCCCACTATCCTACCTCAGTGTGACCAGCACTCAGGACCATTACCCTACCAATGGGCAGGTAACTTGGACCGAACAGCAGTGATAGGCACAAGGGCTGATAGGTTGCCCAGCCCTGGTGGAAGCGGAATCGGACGAACCTTGTCGAATGGGAACTTTGGACGCCAGGCCCAGACAATCTACTTCAGGCCCCAAGAGACTCTGGGTCCTAGGTTTCAGACAGGGTAGCACCCATTGAAGCAGTCTTCTTTTTTTTTTTTTTTAAGACAAGGGGCCCAATGCCCAAGGCTCAAATTATGCAATTGAATACAAAGCGAACCCACGCCTCTTTCCATTAGGGCTGGAAGAGCCTCAGTCACTGCTACCATGGAGACAGCTTCCCTATTCGATATGGATGTAGCACGGGCAAGGGGCATTGATTGCTTCCCAAATAAGGAAGGATTAACCCCTCGCCATGCGGAATCAAGCTCGGTCCTGCTCAACTTGACTAACTCTACTGGGGCTGTTCTGCACTATACACACCTGCGGGGGAGTGGTAGCAGGGTATAAGAGTCTAACTAAATCGAAAGTCCCATCAAACCCTTGATAATTCATTCTGTAATTAGGATCTGAAGTTGACAAGGAACGTGTTTCCCTAGTGTAACCCTAATTAGCACAATCCCTTATCCAACGGGGCAAAATCGAACAGGGAGGAGAAATCGACGTCCAAACCAAAGCACTGCTTTCCCTTCAGATTACTGAAATTCAGCTATGGAGAAAGCAAATGATTTCTGATGAAAGCAGAGACAACGAAGTCAGATTCGCATCAACCAAGAGTTGCTCCCCACCAATAGATGGAGCTGCTCCCCAGGTGCTAGCGGTGTCTGCTCTTACCAGCACGACTATCACTGGCGGGGGTGGTTGTTCGGAACAAAAAAAAAAAAAAAAAAGCCCTATCAAATCGAAGCACACAGATGTAAACAAATGAAATCGAAGAACAGATCAGGAGGAAGTCGATGAAAATTGAGACCGACCCAATCCAATCCTGGCAATTTTAATTGTACAAGTGTAGAAAACGAAATCGAAAAGCAGATCAGATCAGGACGAGTCTCATACACATGAGATCAATACAGATCAGACCGCTCCAATCCAATCCAAACAGTTGAAACTGCAACCCATAAAGGTAAGCAGAGGAGGGGGGGCAATCAGTACTTGACAGATCGACCTCCACTGTGGTTGAGCTCCATGCAGGGTGGTCACATGAGAAGGGTCGATCTGATCTCCCTTAATCTCGGCCTCTACCCTACTCCATCTCGCATCCATTGCCCGTGCTCACTCCCCCGAAGATTACGATCCCTCATGCCCAGCTGCCAGCCGAACCCCTCCTCCCGCCCTCCATGCTGTGCAGGCACGTAAACAGAGAAGAGAAAAGGGAAGTGTGCCACCACTTGAGCAGAGCACAGATTGTGGTGCGTGTTGTTACCTACTGTAAAGGTGACGTGAGCAGTGCAGAGATGCACGAAAGACAAGGGGGGCATTAGGGGAGGGTGGGAGGAGAAGGAGGGGATGTTGGGAGAAGGAACATAAACCACTTCGGGCTCCTTGCCCTCCGGCTGCCGATTAGCAGCATGCATAGTGCGAGCCAACTCGACCTCCTGTGCTGGTTGCCCCGCTGTCAAACTTTTCATTGTTGGTGATGAGTCTGTTGTCATGATCGATACTGTAGTTGTTGTTGCGGGTGGCAGGTTCGATACCGTCCTTCCCCTAGCTTACCCAAGGCCAGGCGGAACTCGGACTGGCCTGAGCGACTTATACCCCTACCCTTACCCCAGGGTCTAAGCCTTATATATAGCCACTAGACAGTTCCATCCGAATATCAGTAGGAACTCCGGTGGCCCATACCTGTTCCTACTGCAGATACTAGACCCCACCCAGTGACTAGAACCCGCCAGTCTGATAGTTGTGTAGTTCGCAATGTATGTGTATACCCGGAGGCTGTGTATGCTCCGTGTATCTATGTATCAAGATGTACAGACAGCACTATGTGTGGAAACTTGTGTATGTAGCTTGCAGGCCATGTATAATTCGCAAGCTATGCATATGCCCGAAGGCTGTGTGTGCTCTGTGAATCAATGTATCGAGATNTATAATTCGCAAGCTATGCATATGCCCGAAGGCTGTGTGTGCTCTGTGAATCAATGTATCGAGATGTATAGGCAGCATCATGTGTGTATATCGAAGGGAGAACGGGGTAAGCTGGACAGGGACCCCCCCAAGGTCCGAACCAAGCTCGAACCCGTGACCTTGTAGCATGTAATCGTATGACTCTACCATGTGCGAACGACTAGGGGGAATGGCACGAACGTGTGATATGCCAGACTGGGGAGATCAACAGAACACCCAAGACCAACACCCCCAAGCAACCCATGTGAAACCCAGAACCATCATACAACACCATGAACAACCCTTGGGTGGTGCGCAGGCAGTGTCTGTAATAGTACCATGCGTCAGCCCAAGGGAGTGTATGTCCACCATGCGTCAGCCCAAGGGAGTGTATGTCCAGCCGTGTGTCAATCTAACGCCCTGCCCGTGTCCATGCGCAAGGTTGCAGTTGAGTTTTGAACCCGCAACCTCATACCACAATGCGCATTTCCAACCGGTGCTCTAACCACTGAGCCACATCAACTGGACTCTTTCCGGGCTGAAGAGGCGGGTCTTCAATTTATCAGGTATCATCATATCAAGTCTTGCTGATGATGGGACAGGTCGTTCGGTTTCCTTCTGGCGTCCCTATCCGGGCTGAAGAGTCAGGTCTTCAATTTATCAGGTATCATGTCAAGTTTTGCTGGTTGATGGGACACTGGAAGCACTTTTCCAGCTTAGCAGGGTCTTGTATCCCCAGGCCGAAGCTGGGTAATGGCCCCAGTACCATCATTTGTACCTTATCATTCGTAATGCAGGCCATGGGCATTGGGCCCCATCACAGAAAAAGAAGAGAAAAACAAAGGAAGAGAGGTGAAGGGACTGTAACAAGCAGCGAACAGTAGGTGGCAATCGGACATGGCACTTACTCACACTGCAACTTACTTGCCTGAATCTCGGCATAATAAAGGTCAGGTACAGTCGGCAAAGTACAGGTGTGTATGTAATAAGCAGTGAAAAGTGAGCAGAACTACTG